TCTTAGCAGATCAACACGAAGCAGACCCAGGATAGCTTGGTCGAAAAACAGAACATGCATGCACAATGTATAGGAGAGAGCGAGCAAGATGGTAGGCACACTTTTTACACTTATGAATGAATGAAAATAACTTCTCTGTCAATGTCAACACAAGTATCCGTACCAACTGAGTGTGTGATTGCAGTGTGATATTTCGTCTCATAAAAATGCATTTTTCAAAACATTTCAATAATAATTATTGTGCTTTGAATTTATAGTTCGATATCATTACCCATAGGGTGCTGACCTGCCTCGCGTAAATCTAAGGCTCAGAGCGGACATGGCAGTGAAGAATAATACAAAGACGAAGAGGTGACTGGCGGTGCGACTCAAGGCGGGTCAGAACACCAGTCACCTCTTTGTCTTTGTATTAATTCTCACTGCTCTGTTCTGCTCTAACCGCTCTGCTTGCAGTGTGGCCAGAGCCTAAGGGTCTACACCTGAGTACTTTACTATTGGATTAGAGCACATTGTAGTTAGTTCCCCTTAGGTAACAAGTGTGCCAACCGACAGAAGATATTCGGGGACGTCTCCGGATGGATAGTGCAGTGCCAACCAATCTGTGTTTCCAACCAGTCTCGCTCTCCCCCTACATCATAATAATATTATGTGAAAAGGTCTACTTCAGTCCTCTAGTCCTCTTTACCTAATTTGAATCTGAGGTTGAATCTCTCAACGGGTGGTTGGCGGCTGCTCTGGTGTGGTTTGCTCCTTCAATTCTATCAAACATCTATCGTCTTTGTCTCCTATCCTTCTTTTTTGTGTTAGTTACTCTCTTGTAAGGCCTCTAATCTTCGGCACTTATATGATCTTATTGTATTACAAGTGCTGTAAAACTCTTACTAAACTAAACGCTCAACCGTAAGGTTGTGTGATTTGAATTTCGCAAATGGCCCAACGTTGTGTCCTTCGCTTGGGAAGGGATTTTCAAGAAGTTTCATCACTTTGTACAGTTGGAAATAGGGGTTCGGCCATAGAAAACGAAATAACTTGTCAGTTTATAAATGTTTTGTCGCGTGTAATCCGCAGCTTGCACTGCTGTATGCTCCCCGAGAACTTGAGGATTTTTGCAGAGTCGGGCTCTAGCTGTCCTCGGGGTTTTATGCACTCCGCATAATTTAGCAAAATTTGATCATTTTTTTCATAATTTCTGATAATTTTCCTTAATCATTCTTTGTTAAAATTAATAGAATCGCATAATTTCACATTTTTCGGCTCAGTTTGCATATTTTCAGAATTTGTTTTGGGGCCTAAAACCCTGGGGACAGTTCTAGGTTTCGTTTGTAGGTAATGATAGTTGTTACGAGGAAGCCATAGAGCCCGGATATTAAGTGCTAGATACATGCGAGTACTAGAATTATTAGTAGTAGTATTTGTTTGACATACTGTGAGGAAACTCCACGATCTTCCCTCTCTGTGAGACCAATAGTGAGTTCCCCGTGACGCCAAACACGAACGCCGATTTTAACAAATTATTTAACTAGCTGGGCCCCCTTTCGATCAAATGAATGATCGGTACATTAACATCAACTGAAAATCATTGGCCTACGATATTTACACTCTACTGGAATGGAACAATAAATCTTGAGAGATGCAAAAATTTAGAAGATTTAGATCTATACTCTCAAAACAGTGCGCACGGCTAGTGAACGGAAACCTCACTTGTATACAATGGCGTCTTAGAAGACGGACTTTCCCAAGATTAGATCTAAACGAAACTAATGAAAAACTAAAATATAAACTACAGTAACTTCAGGCTCCTCAATAAAACGGTGCACCCTTTAAATCATTCTGAACCAGCGTTACTTTTATCAAATTCGAAAGTTAAGTGGTTCGGAAGTTTTAGGCGGCGAAAGTGACACAAATGTAATATGTATAGATAATAGGGAAATGAAGAAGACCTTTTTCGAAACATGTAAAATGATACTCAACAAACATTCCTTACAGATGGCTGTATAAAATGTTAATGTACATTTGTCTGGACATACGATAGGTTCAGGGAGCACGATAATCCATGTAGAAAAGGGTTTTCTGATGGAGGGGTGGTATCACAACATTACAACTGTCTGTGGAAAAGGCATTGACAACAACAGTACCACAACACTGAAAAGATAAATAAATAAATATCAACAAGAATACAAAAATATAGTAAGCATTGTAGCAATGCCCTTTGCAGAATCGAAGCGTTCATTCAGCACCTCAGGTATATATCATTATGAAAAGTGTTTAGAAACTAGTAGTCCATGCAGTGCCGTCCTTGACAAGGCCTCCCTACTTTTGAGCTATTAATTAATTATTTTACATGCATCTTAGCTAGAGGAAAGGTGACGAAATGCAGTCATCTCTCCTAGAAGTAGATCTCTTACGACAGCCGCATATTTAGTTTGTAGAATCAAGAAAACGGTGTATGGATATTATAGAACCAAAGAAAACTGTAAGGCAGTGTTGTGTGGCTCCAACTGATGGATAATGGTCCATACGCTATCAACTGAGAGACTGAGTTATGATGTCGTATTGCCACTTTAGAAAGATGATGAGTAGCCTTGACCAGATGGAACAGACGTGACTGGCGATTGTCGTAGAGAAACAAAAAGTGCAGCTGCAAACAAAAACAGTAATCAAACATAAAGGACTGATATTGTGTCAATGACCAAAATTAAAAAATAATGTGTATTAGGTCTTAAATTATATGAGCCATAAAAAAAATGCAGGCGAAAAAATCAGCCAACATTCAAACATAACATTTGATCGTTGTAAATGGGTTTCTTTTTTTGAAAGCATCCAAAGTGCACAGGCGTTTCGTCACTACTGCCTCATGGTCAGGAAAAAGGACAATACATCAACCATGTTTAACTTGAAGAGAACGTGACCAGTTTAAAATCTACACATCTGATGCGTCTATTTTCGGCCGACATTCTCTCTTGTTGCGAGAAATTTCTAGTTTCATCAGCAAGCCTCCGTTGGGGATTTGAAGCAGATGGTCTGTCATGAGGCAAACTAAACTTACAGTTTCAAACCAGTGGCGTCGCTGGCTTAGTGGTTAGACTACCGGACTCGTAATTGTGAGATAGCGGGTTCGGGGATGCGACCTCAGCTCGGTCCGACGTTGTGTCCTTGGGAAAGGCACCTTACACGAACTCCCCACTTGGCTCGGCCCTTTCGGAGATGGACGTTAAACTCGGAGGTCCCAATTATTAAATAACCTAACAGTGTTGATAGGGCCGTTAAACCTATACCATTAAAATTTCACAATTTTTTGTTTCAAACCAGTGTACCACCGCCCAACCAGACCAGTCCATAAGAATGAATTAACCTGCGTCTGTGGCTTAGAGGACAGACACTGTACGTCGGTATTAGAGAGTTGAGAATTTTATCAAGTCTCTCGGTCTTTTGGCCACAACGTTTTATCCCTCTCAAATTGAGTTGGCCCTGACAGGCAGGGTTGTTGTCTGCCTCCTGATTAGTCTAACTTGTGTCGAAGAGGGCTTAATTGTTTTCAAAGAGACAATTGCAGGCTGTAACAAAATATAAGCGTTAAAACCATTCCCCAACACTTTGACTTTAGGAAAAACTAAAACCCATTAGCTCATTAAGGAGGCGTATTCGAGACATTCGTCAACACTTGAAAATGCGATGTTCTGCTGTGCTTGATTAAAGAAGCATAATTTGACGTTCTCTCATGTTATTATTTTCTATTTCTGATATTTTAAAAACTATAAATCTTTCAATTGTTTAACTCAAGAGGCGGGAAATCAACATTCATTCTGTGGAATATGCAAATTCGTATTTCTGATAGGTATACAGTGGTTCAAAATGTGTCTATGGTCAGCTGCTAATGGGACATAAATATAATTATTTTGTGTCCACTACGTACATAAAAAGTTACAACTCTTCCCCACATCATTGTTATATTCCTATACACACATCATACACATAATATTTATGTTCCCATATCATCCACTATATCCCGGTACCCACACCATCCATGTATTCCTTGTCTCCATCAAGGAAATCAAGACACATCCTCGCTCACTCGGCTTTGCAATCCCCGAAATACATCAACTTTTGTCCAACGAGTACGTTCTATGAGTCCATTCTTTGACGTCATTATCACCTGCTGCATGTGACTATAATTTGTGTCCACACATTGCACAAAGGTACACGACTCTAGATTCCAATGCCGTATATCATCATCATCATCATCAAGTGCCAGATCTGCGACAGACATCGGCGATCATGGTTCTCCATTCATTCCTTTGCTCGGATGCTCTTAAAAAAGCTACGTTTCCCTGATCTTTCCCCGTAACCCATTTGCTTAGGTTCTCTAAGTAGGTTGCTCTGGGGCTACCCCTGCCTCGTTACATATACTCAGGTAAAAATATAGCACATCGGTAAACCGGCAGTTTGGTGGGAGAAAGATCCTGCACCAAGTGACCCAATTACGAGGCGAGAAAAGGCGGCGACGCCAGGTGCTAGAGAAGTGTTGATTACTTTGTTCAGTATAAATTGTGGATTGTGTCTCCTTTCTTCGTCTCCGTGTCATCGTCCTGCGTTGTTGTTCCCATCCTCCTGCCCTCGATCCTCCTCGCTGCTCGAGCTGTTTGTCTCCCTCTGCATCTCTCGTTTGCTGGGCCGGAAAAACAGACACTTGATGGCGCTGTAAGCGCGGGAACAGACCGGGCCTCGGCTGGAATGAGCGGGAACCAACGCCCTCCCGCCACCACCACCACCAACCCCAGATTTTTTGCTGTGGTCGCTCGGGCTGGACTGAGGGCTAGATCTTCTGGCCGGGGAACAGAAGAGGTCAAGGTTTGATTTCCTGGCGTTGGTGGAGGAGTTTGAAGAGTTGTCAGAATCTTGACTGGATTGCTTTGAGCCTCTTCCCCGTGAGAAGATGGAATGTTTCTTGCAGTGGCTTGAAGATTTAGGGGATTTGGTGTTGGATTTGGGTGAGTCTGATCCCAGGTGGTTTCCGTTGGTTCGGTCGCCGATATTTATGTTGATTCTGGGCTCGTTCATGAGAGACGGGAGTCCCCCTGGCTCCTCTATGCTAGTGCCGGACAAGTTCTCAGCTGCCAGGCACAGATTCCGGAAGCGTTCTGGAAGGAGATAGCTCAGATTGTCATCGTAATCCAGACCTCTATACGTTTGTTGTTGTTGTTGTTGTTGTTGTTGTTGCTGCTGCTGTTGTTGTAGTTGTTGTTGTTGGTTTTGATGAGTAGGAGGAGGATTAACGGTATATTTATCAGAAATAGACAACCCTGGAGCCTTCTTCAGACCCAGGGGTTTGAGATGAGGCTGGATGTGATCAGACGGGGATACGACGGGGGGAATGGAATCTGTGGACGCGTCGCTGTCTTTCCGAAATCCCACGTAGTCTGCCATGATGGGCGAGAAGCTTCCGTACCCCGAGAGGGATAGATCCGAACCCTGGCGTTTGCCGATAGGCGGCGTGAAGTTGACGGGAGGATTCGCCGTGAGGTAATTGGGATTAGGCTTCTCTCTGTCCGTCAGAGAAACAGAACTGAGCTTACGTCCGGAAGGGGGCGTGTCGGAAAGCGACATCGTGCTCAGCTTCCGGAAGTAGCACGGAGACTCGATGATGAGCGAGGCCGAGCTGTGCTTCCGGTTGTTGGTGGCGTTGAGCCGGGCGTTCGTCGGGGAGTCCATCAAGGACACAGAGCTCATCTTACGACCGCTGGGATTGTCTAGTAGCAAAGAGCCCGAGCTCAGTTTTCGGATATCGCTTCTGGAGATGTTGCTGAGTTTTCGTCTCGTCGTATCGTCCCGCATTGCTTGTGAGATGGAATAAGATGAGAAGGAGTTCATGACGTTGGTCGAGTTTCTCCTGGCGTAGTTGGGGACTCCGCCCACCGTAGACGCTGCCGAGTTGGACGTGGACATCGGACAGCTGTTACTCACAGAGTTCGAGGACGGGGAGGAGGACGCACGTGCGTCGTCCATCACCAATTTGGAATTGACGAAGATGAGAGGACGCTGCTGAGGGCCTTTGGAGCCGGGCCGAGAGTTCTCCGTCTTTGACGTGGCGTTGGACGAGGAGGAGGAGAGGGACGATCCTGTGTTGCTGTGTTGGTGAGTGAGTGCCACGGGTGGGGGCTGGGTAAAGTTCCTGGGCCGCACCTGGGAGGAGCCCAGACGGACGGCGAGCCAGTCTAAGGCGGCATGGAGACCCTCCCCGCTCACAGCACTCACTGGCAGGATGCCTGAGGAAATATTTTTTTTAAAGACACAAGTTAACGGCTGCTTAAGTTCAACGCTATGCCTAGAACTTATAAATAAGTGATTGTTTAAGTTCAAACACGCCGCTTAAAACAAGTCAGTTGTTGTTTAGGTTCAACGTTATAGTTAAGAAAATTCTGTTCAATTAAGTTCAACGTTATAGTTAAGGAAACTTTGTTGATGGTTGTGTAAGCTCAACACACTACCAAGAACATGTTAATTATTGCTTCAGCCCAACGCTCAACTTAGAATCTGTTAGAAAATAATGTATTTGTGTACATACAAATCTGCAACTATGAACCCGTATATATTTGTTTAAGTTCAACGCTCTCCTAAGAATCATCTAAGAATAAATTAAAGATTCACCAAGTTTAGCGCTCCATTTAAAATCTATAAATGATTGATTAAGTTCAACACGCTACTTTAAACCTGTTAATAAAATTAAAATTCGACGTTGTTGTTATAACCTGTTAACAATTGTTAAAGTTCAAAACTCTATTGAACAACGCACTCTAATAAAAATAATAATAACAATAGATAGTTTAATCGGTATAGCGCAAATCCCCGCTCAAAAGCAATCTCTATGCGCTTTACAATCTATACTATAACCCCACCAGACCTGAGACCATTCTGAAACAATCCCAACTGGAACTGCTGCTTTTTCTTTCCTAATCCTTAGTAATTCTCATTTTTACTCTACTTCTTTTGTATGTTTGTCACACACTTGTGACCCGCTATTTCCATCAAACATGTATCGTCCTTATCTCCCCTCCTTCTATTTTCTGATTGTTATTCTCTTGTAACTCCTCTAATCTTTGACACTTATATGACCTTATTGTGTTGCAAGTGCCGTAAGTAATACATGTACTCTTATTCAAGCTAAAATGTATATTATTATAAACTGTGACATTAAGCGACTCTCTACAAAGCATTACCCCAAGCATGTTTGAGAAATTTGAGCCCCAGACGCTCCGAGATCTCGTCCGTGCTCATCGTGTTGGGCAGATCCATCTTGTTGGCCAGGAAGAGAAAAACGGCACTCGTCAACTCCTCGGCATTGATGGCCGGCTTGATGACGTCATAGTTCAGCTCGTCCAATCGCTCGGGGTCGTGGCTGTCGATGACGAAGACAACAGCGTCCGCCCCTTTGTAGTAGTGCCGGAACAGCGGTCGCTGTGGACAACACAAGGAGAACGTAATGA